TTTTCTTTGATTAGATCCTTAAGACAATTATGGGGCGAAAAGGTTAGTGTTTGTGAGAAAATAATGCACACATGGTGGTTTTATAGTGGGGGATATTGTCGTCTAATGTGCTAACTTTTTTGTTTAATTAAAAGTAATCACCATTCCTTATAGAACAAGTGTTTAGAAGAGTTAATTTTTATAATTTAAATTTACCAATTATTTTATTTTATTATATATAAAATGTATGAAGCAATAAAATAATAATATCATGAATCTTATTTAAATTTAAATTCGGCATAAAAATCACACTTCAATTTAGACTAATTTTACATGAAGAAACAATAAAAAACAACATAATTTTTTTATAACTTATTTTAGAATATTGACAAGTCTTATTAAGAATGTTTTATTTGATATATTTCAACGGATTGAAGTATTTATTAAGAAAGAGACGTTTGTGAATTTTTTGACTGAGTTTCTCTGTTAGTAGAATTGAGGACTGAATATTTTCCCGTGTCTCAAGTATTTTTCAAAGGCAATTCAAGTTAAATGGTTAAATATGAAAAGAAAAAAAAACATGTTTTAACAATTAATCTACTTTCATACCATTTGTTTTTAACATTTTTAATTTTCTAGTATTAAATGAGGATTCATGCATGAATGCAATGAAAGAGATGAATCTCATGATAAAGAAAAGAGAGTGCATGATCTTCATGCATTGTATATTTCATTATATTAATTACAAGAGAGAATCCTAATGTTATAGAGGAGCATAGGTTACTGCACTTCTTAACTAACTTTCTTCACTTACTAAAAATCTTTTTATAGTTAGTATGAAAAAATATACCTAACTCTAGCTATATATGACTCCAATACTCCCCCTCAAACTCATAGGGAGTGTAAGACTATGACCTTGACTTTGGAACGAATATTAGTAAATAAGGTGGTAGGAAGTGGTTTTGTTAGCATGTCAGCAATTTATGCATGGCTAGGTACATTTCGAATATCCAGCTTCCCTGCCATTATTCTCTCTCGAACAAAATGAATGTCTAGTTCTATGTGCTTAGTTTACGTGTGTAAAATTGGATTATGTGATTTCAAAATTGCATCGAGATTATCACAGAGCAAAGTAGTAGTGATATAATTGATATGAATTTTTGTGAGAAATGATTCAATCCATAAAAGTTCTGAAGTTGTGTGCGTTAGGACGTAGTATTCAACTTTTGTACTTGAACGAGCTACAAGTGACTGCTGCTTTGAGCTTCATGCAACGAGGTTAAGACCAAAATATATGCACGAACTAGATGTTGATCTTCTATCTTCTGGATCACGTGTCCAATCATAATCACTATATGCTCGCAAGGATATTTGATGTAGTGGATTAGCAGGTGGTAACAACAACCGATGTATAATAGTTCCACTTAGATACCTTAGTATCCATTTAACCAGACTCTAATGGAACTCAATAGGTGAAGACATGAATTAAAATGCTTTGTTTACACAAAATGCAATGTCTGGACGTGTGTCACATATTTCAACGCGCATACTGTAACAGCCCAATTTTCACTAACTAATTATTTATATTAATTAAATGATTTAAGAGGATTGTTTGATTAATGTATGATTAATTAAATGAATTAATAGATGTTAGAGAGAATTAGAAGGGAAAGACTTATAAAGGAAAAGTGGAGAGAAAGAAAAAGATAGAAACATAAGAAAAGAGAAGGAGAAAGAGGAGAAAAGAGAAGGAGAAGAAGAAAAAGTTGGAAAAGCTCAAGAATAACTCTCAAGCATCGATTAATCGAGGTAAGGGTGTGAAATATCATTATTGTGTCAATGTATATGATTGTGTATGCTTGGGTTAGATTGTTGGTTGTTTTCCTACAACTTCCATTTTAGGGCAAATTGGATTTAATCGATAGAAATCGAGTTTTAACGGTAGAAACTAGAAATAAGTGATATAATTAAGTCGAGGGAGGTTATACTAAGACTATGGAATTTGTTTAGTGAGAATCGATAGGTTTTGCGAAGAGTTGAGGACTTGATGACAGTGAGAATTTTCTGAATTCGCAGACGTTCGCTAGCACCTTCGCTAGGCGAACAGGTCGCGAACATTCGCTAGCAACTCGCTGAGCGAATAGGTTGGCGAGAGGTCCCAGACTTGGACAGAATACATTTGACCTGGTTAGCGGGTAGCGAGTGTGGTGGCGAAGGATTCGCTAGGGACTCGCTGCAGCGATGTAGGTAGCGAGCGAAGCCAGTAGCTTCTGTTTGCCTTCGCGAGCTGGTTCGCTAGGCGAACAGATAGCGAGCATTCGCTAGAGACTCGCTAGGCGAGCAAGCCAGCGAGCGTGACAACATTTTATTTTCTTGTGATTCCATTACATGTTGACTTCTTTATTCGATTGTGTTCAATCCTTGTTGGAAATGAGTAATTATATACTGTGAAATATATGTTGTGGGTAGCCGTATAGCGTGAATCCTAGATTGTGAGATTGATTGTGAATACTTATTGCTTGATAAATATATTGATGATATATGAATATGTTGTGTGTGCAATCGTATTATAATTCTTGTATGATGAATTATGTGAATGCATGGGATTAAGATGTGAACGGTCTTAAGTGCATTTGGTGTTTGATTGCATATGCATCATGTAGTCAAGAGGAAATGTTTGCTAGTTTCGTGGAGACTAGTGACTTGTCCCAAACCTAGAAGGGTGGGTTTGAAAGCTTAGGGAACGGGCTTTTGTTGTTATCGGTCTAGAAGGATGGACCCGGTTTAAATGTAAAAACCGAAAAATGATAACAAGTGTTGGTACCACATGGCATGAGTTGCATTGAGTTGCATTGAGTCACATGATTAATGTGTATTGTTGTATGAAAGTTTACCTTTATGTGAAGTGTTGAATCGAGGAATGTGTATGTATATATATATATATATATATATATATATATATATATATATATATATATATATATATATATATATATATATATATATATATATATATATATATATATATATATATATATATATATATATATATATATATATATATATATATATATATATATATATATATATATATATATATATATATATATATATATATATAATTATATGCTTTGACTATTATGATAATATTTCTCACCCTTCTGCTGCTTCATAATGCTCTATGAGGCATTGCAGATTAGGTTGCTGGAGGTCTTTTGTGAAGTTTAGCTTCATCCTTTTGGTCGGTTATGCTCTGATATGTAGCACCAGGTAGTTAGGATTGTATAGTATTCTTTTGGGCTACATTTGTGTAGGTATCTGTTGGTAATGTTCTGTAAACATGAATGATATTATGTACCAAACTGAATTATGTATCAAAATGATAACATGTCTTAAGTAATTCAATGTTTTAATCTTCCGCTTTAATTTCTAAATATTGAGGTGTGGGTGTAGGACTAAGTTCCTCTGTTGAACTACCCCATTGTTGCATGTCTTTTATAGAGCAGGTGTTGTATGTTATTTTGATGAATGATGTGACACACTTCTTTTATACCATATCTTAATTTACTCTGATGAAATTTATCATGTGCTTATGTGATTTAATTGTTTATTTGGGGGTATAGAAGGGGGTGTTACACATACGGTTAACCTGCACATAGCTCGATCATGCAACACATCTGAACCATGTTTGCTCAACTTACAGTGACTAAACATGGGAGTGGTCACTCCATTTTCACCGTACATGTTAACGTTTCTCTAGATATCCTTGATGTAATATGATTGCATGAGTAACATGGATCCATTTGATTGATAATGAACTTCGATACCTATGAAATAATTTGGGACACTAAGCTTCCTCATAACAAATTTATAACGTAACTTGGTAATAAGATCATGAATCAATGTAGGATTTGTGCTAGTTAAGAGAATATCATCAATATAAACTAGAGTATACAATGTTAATCCTCAGTGTTTGTAGACAAAAAGGGAATTATTACATTTGTTGGACACAAAACTAAACTGAATCAAGGCTTGGTGCACTTTTTCATACCAAACCCTTGGTGCATGTTTCAAACCATAGAAGGCCTTCCTCAATGTTCAAACCAAAGTAGTATTACAGTCAACAAAGTCAGGGGGTTTCTGCATGTAAACCTCTTCTTAGAGATATCCATTGAGAAAAGCATTATTGATATTAATTTGTTGGATTTCCCATTTGTATGTGATAACCAAGGATAAGATAATATGAATGGTTGTTGGTTTTACCACAGGTGAGAATGTTTCATGAAAATAAAACCCTTGTTATTGTTGGAAGTCTTTGGTTACTAGCCTTGCTTTATATTTGTTAACACTCCCATATGGATTTTCCTTTGCCTTGAACACCCACTTGCACTATAGGTTTTCTATTAGGTGAAGTGTGGATAATCTCCAAGTGTCATTCTTTAATAGTGATTCATATTCAGACTTCATGGTTTCATATCATTCTAGATGTGGAAGGGCTTGCTTTGCGGTATGTAGTTCAATGTGATCAAGGAATACTTTAGTTTTAGATTTTCATGTTTTAGCTATAGTCATCATGGGATGGTTGTTGACTAAGGATTTGGTAATTGGCTTTGAGTGTGAAATGATGGAGACAAAGAATTTATGGAATAACTTACTAAGTTTTGTTACTAGGATAAACTAGTGTCCTTGGCTTGAAGTTGCTTGGATTGGAATTTATTGACACATTAAGATGACATAAGATCAAGTAGAGCAGTAGTAGAACATGGAGATGTGTGGGATCCTGATTAGATAATATTAGAAACATGTGATAGGTTAGAAGAATGGCCTTCATATAAAGCTTGTGTTTGATCTAACTTAGTAGGTCGACTTTGTATGATAGATGAGTTTGGAAAATAAGGTTCAAGATTAGAATTATCTTACAGACTAGTGGATAGGTTGTGACTCCTTGATTGACCTGAAGGTCTAGCTAGATTAGGTGTAAGAGAAGGATTATTTATGGTTTGACTGGAATTTGTTCCACA